GGGTTTTGTTTTGTTCGTTCGGCGGAGAAGATGGAGTTGAAGCTATACAACACGATGACGCAACGGAAGGAAGTATTGATTCCGATCAATCCTGGCAAGATCGGATTGTATGTCTGTGGTATTACTGCTTATGATTTCAGCCATATCGGTCATGCTCGCGCCGCCGTTTCCTTTGATGTTCTTTACAGGTCTCTCTTTTTTTTTTGTAATTAGGGTTTTGTTCAATGGAATCTGTTAGATCGATGAGGTTAATTTTGGGGATTTGTAGTGCGTGCATGGGTTTTGCTTCTTCTCTAGTTTGATAAGAGAATGTTCATACTTGTTCTACTGGTTATGCAGATACTTAAAGCATTTGGGTTATGAAGTTAGTTTTGTCCGGAATTTCACTGACGTTGATGACAAGGTATGAAGTTTTGAACATCACAAGAATCTTCTTCTTTGCATTCTTACGTTTACGTTTTCTATAATGTATGTTTTGGAATCTCTGTAGATTATCAAACGTGCTAATGAGAATGGAGAGAGCCCGTTGGATTTGAGTAATCGCTTTTGCGAGGAGTATTTGGTAGATATGGGTGCTCTTCAGTGCCTCCTTCCCACCCACCAACCTCGTGTCAGCGACCATATGGATCACATTGTTAAGATGATCCAAACGGTATGTATGTTAGAGATCTCATATTCTTCTTTTTGTTGGTTGAAGTTGGAATTATCAGTGTAAAGGGTTATGATCTGCCTGTTACAGATCATTGAGAAAGACTGTGGGTACGTAGTGGAAGGCGATGTGTTCTTTTCGGTTGACAAATCTCCAAATTATGGAAAACTATCTGGGKAAATSTTGGAACARACYCGAGCTGGTGAGCGTGTTGCTGTTGATTCGAGAAAGCGTAACCCTGCTGATTTTGCATTYTGGAAGGTTTGGGAATCAAAATCTTTTTAGCTCTGAGTCAGTTAAATTGAGGCCTATGATGAACTGATGTTTAAACATGCAGGCTGCAAAACCCGATGAGCCAAGTTGGGAGAGCCCGTGGGGTCCAGGAAGACCAGGATGGCACATTGAGTGCAGTGCAATGAGTGCTCATTACCTGTCTCCGAGATTTGACATTCACGGTGGTGGTGCAGATCTGAAATTCCCGCATCATGAAAATGAGATCGCTCAGACATGTGCTGCATGCGAGGATGGTGGTGTGAATTACTGGTTGCATAATGGGCATGTCACTATCAATAACGAGAAGATGGCAAAATCAAAGAAAAACTTTAAAACAATCAGACAAGTATGCTTGCTTCTTAGATGTTCCAAATATAAATAATCATTGAGCATTTCTTTGGGCTAAACACAGAGTTATGATCCTTTTCTTTTTTCTTTTAAATCTGTGTAGATCACAGCTAATTACCATCCATTGGCTCTGAGGCACTTCTTGATGAGTGCACAGTACCGGTCTCCTCTGAGTTTTTCAGAGTCACAGCTAGAGAGTTCGTCACAAGCTTTATATTATGTTTATCAGGTACAGTGCCTCAGATATGTTTTCAAAATTTGATTAGCCTCTGTTTAGTTGTAATGAGTTATATGGGAATAGAAGAATTAATAGTGAGACAAAAAAAAGTCGTAATTTATATAACCTTTCATCTTTGTCTATTAGACATTACAAGATCTTGATGATGCTCTCTTGCCATATCGAGAAGCAATGTCAGAAGACGACGGTGGGGAAGCTGAACCAGCAGCCATAGACATCATTAACAACCTGAAAAGTGAGTTTGAAGCAAAGATGTTAGACGATTTGAATACTGCCCATATTCTTACGGGTGCTTACCGAGATGCATTAGAATTCATCAACGACTCGATTGGCAAGCTCAAGGTTTCTGCTTTTCCCTTCTTCTTTTCTTATCACCTCTAGCGTACGCAATAATGTTATACCAATGTTGTCTTTCTCAATTTTCAGGATATTCAGGAAAAGCAGCTGCTTGTGGCACTCGTTGAGATTGAGAAAGCAGCAAGAGAAGTTCTTGATGTACTTGGTTTGCTAACTACTCTGAGCTATGCCGAGATTCTGAAAGAAATGAAACAAAAAACACTAACAAGAGCAGGATTGGGAGAAGAAGACCTTTCTCGGTTAATACAAGAAAGGATAATGGCGCGAAAGAATAAAGAATTTGTGAGAAGCGACGAGATTAGAGCAGAATTGAAGATTAAAGGAATACAATTAAATGATATTGACATATATACTACTTTGTGGATGCCACGCTTCCCTTCGCAGGCTAGTTCTAGCAATTGAGCAAATAACAGACAGATTAAAGATACTTTAATTATTTTGTTAAAATTTTTATTTTAAAACAGATTATTTACTATATCAAATTATAATATTAATACATAAATCATATGCAGTTTTTTAATTACCTTTTATTATACTTAACAAATTTATAATTGTTTTCGTAAAAAAATCTCTTTTTCAAATTCAAACTATTTATTTGTCAAAAATATGTATTGTAAATAATAACCCCTCTGTATTATTTGTCAAAAATATGTACATGATTTTTAAGGATGTTACACATGTATTAAAAAACCCAATAAATAATATAATTTTTGTTTATTTTCCTATGTTAAATAATAATTTATTATTTAAATAAACTTATGTCAACCAATCCCATAAAATTTTGAAGAATTCTACTAGTCATAAAAATTTAAAAATATTAAATTCTTACATAAAAAAATGAAACAATCAACTAGTTTGACACAAACATTTTTTTTCTAAAAGATCAGTATATATCTAAAAGTTGTGCATTAGTTATTCAATAAAGCCACATAAAAAAAATTGAAGTTATGAAAATAGTAATAATATTTTCAATTTTATTTTCTAAAATTATTATCTTCAATAAAAAAAAATTTAAAAACCCGCTTTTATCTTTTTTCACAAATGAAACAATTATTGTGTACCACATATTTTTGTTTTCACCAACCAAACATTGTCTTATTCCGCTTTTGCAAATATGTTTTTCCCCATAATCTGCCGTTACCGCATCGTACAATTTAGTGCGGAACCCACAATACTTTATAAATTGCAATTTAAACAGTGTCTCATCCTTTTTTTGGTTTACTGATGTAAGGGTTACACAAAGAGTATTTCAAAGTAAGCACTTATCTTGAATTATGGCATTTGCAAAGTCTAGAGAAACCAATTAGGGAAAAATCTAAATTTTGTCACAGGGAAATCCAGGATTGAGCTTAGACTTATAGTAAGATCAAATTGTTTTGTGGTCATTCTGCTTTCAAGTGCTTCTAGTCTCATCGGAATGGGCCTTTTATTTTAAGCAACAAAGCAAAGTGCTTTTTAGCAGATCATAATTATTCTTTCTAACCCTTCTAAGCGATGCTAAATCCTTAAGAGCAGAGAGTTATTCAGAAGTGACCTAACTTCTCCACAAGCTTCTTCTCTATCTCCATCCTCTGTTTCATCAACAAACCGTAACTAGAAGCCACGTTCTCATCTCCTGCTTTTACCTTGAGCTTGCAGTTCAGAGATGTTGTCTCCAATTTCCCCTCGTAAAGATATGAGATGGGCACGAAACTTCCTTTTTTGTTGCAGAGCCAGCCATGAGCAGCTCTCAGTGCAGCTCCAAGTGATGCGGAATCTGTGCAAGTAAAAACATTTTTTTTTCAATCCATGAGGCCAGATCAAGCGAGTAAGCAAGCAAGCTGCAATTTTATTTGTATGTTCAAGTGTTACCAGGCCTTTGGACAGTATATACATCACATCCAAAGATTGCCGAGATCAGACTGAGAATATTCTCATTAGCAGATGCACCTCCGGTGGCTATTATTCTGATTGGAGGGGAAGGCATACCAAATCTCTCCGCATGAGCCCGCTTTGAAAGAAACTGACCTTCAATCAATGCCCTAACCTGACAGGAAACAACACAATGAGATGAAACAAAACTATCATGGACTCTGCACAGAACAGTGGGATGAGTTTGTCTGTGCACTTTCTTACCTCTGAGGGAGGGTCGAACGCATCGACCTCTCGTTCCTTCCGACCCTGAAGAGACTCAACAGAGAAGTTCTCAAGAATGTACCGATGAGAGCCAACTAAGCATTGGGAAAAACATCAGCATCGGAAGGTTTTACATGTGGCCGAGAGTAATGGCATGGAGAGGAAACTAACTTAGAACATACCGGGAAGTGGGGGGAGAATTTCATTCTCAGTGTAGTAGAAGCCGAGTTTCCCATCTAATGGATCCAGTTGTTATTTAGAAAACAAAGACCCTGAAAATATTATAGATGGACACAATCCTCAAGGATTATGGGATAGTAACTTACCATTTAGTGGCTGTGTTTGCTGCAAATACTTATTAAAAACATCCCAAGACCCCTCAGCGCAACGGTCACGAATTTCTGAAACAGAGAGTCACATTGCCTATGAGAATCGAACAAAACACCAAAGCACGCAGGTTGAGAGTTCACAGATATGACTACCTTCACGGGTGAGAGAAGCATTCTTGTAAACCAACATTACCATGTAACTCTCAGGGTCCACAGGATTAGGAAGCACGTGGCCCTCAAGACTGGGTTGATGTTCTTTGGTGATCCCAAATACCTGTCAGAGATGTGAAATGGTAAGAACACAAGTCTGTTTCCGGATTAACTAGAAAGCTTGACAAGAATCAAGAGCCTTGCCGTGTCACTTGTCCCAAGACTGATCGCCAGATCTCCAGGAGTGCTAAGAGTTAGACCTGCAGAACATTACAGAACATGATATAACTTCATTAACACCAGACAGACAGAGTCCAGTCCTATGAATATACACTTCCAAAGCTAAATATATAGAAAATGTAGCAAAACTTTTCCCCAAGATTATGTTGTTGAATCTATACCTGCCAAGCTATTAGGATTGTCTCCTGACCACTGCACCGCCAAACAATTATTTTCAAAACCAAACCTACAACAATACCGAAAGAAACTCTGAATCTGAAACTGAAACTGCAAGAATCTTATGAACAAGTTTCAAAATGCTTATCGGTAACTACACTATAATCGATACTAACCTCTCAACAAAATACTGAGAAATGAAACCAGCAGTAGCATAAGCTGGAGCTAATTTTCCAAGTTTTTCCTCCAAACCTGTAGCTGTAGCCTGCAAATGAAGCCTAAATACAAAGCAGCACACTTAAGTCTCTAATTATAGCCTCAAAATCAATAACAAACAAACCTCTAAAGCAGCTTTAGACCAACATCTTTTCTTTATATCCATCAAATTCATCCCAGCTCCATCAGTTTCATCAATAGAAGCATAATCTCCAATCAACAAAGACGCCATGAAGGAGCTAACAAGAGATATCCGCTCCGTGCTCTTAAAAGTGTCCGCCTGTTCGGTAAAAAGCTTCCGTATCTGTGGACCGGTGAACCGTTCATAAGCACGTGAGCCAGTGATCTGTGACAACTCCATAGCTCCTCCCACAGCATTCTCTATCTCTTTACACTGCATAGTAGTGCTACTATCCATCCATATAGGAGATTCCTTGACTGAGAAAGCGTTCTCGAGTTGTTCCTTGAGAGGTCTCTTGGAATCTAACGATCTCAGTATCTCGGAACTACCCTTTTGCCAGTACACACTACCATGTTGCTGGCCACTTCCAGAAACCGCAACGACTCTTTTGAAATCGAGAATTGACTTGGAGAGCTTCTGGAGAATGAGATCTAGTGCTTCCACCCACATGAGAGTAGGGGACACAATTCTGCCATTGACAGTATCGTCCCTGTAAACCCCATCTTTGGTTTTGTAATGAGGAAGCTCAGAATCGAAATGAACGAGTTCTGTCGTCACTATGTTGAGCTCTGAGTTCAACACAGTTGCTTTCAAGGACCTTCATCCCATCAACAAAACAACAACATGAATCAGATCGAAACTTTAATGATATTGAGGAACAAAACAACGAATTCCGAAATGAAACATCAATAAAGACAAAACAAAATTCAGACAAAAACCTACTGGGTAGAGCTGTCGAATCCGAGGAAAAGAGAATCAGGAGGAAGAGAGAGATCCGCCATGGGAATCGAATTTTCTCTCTTTGGGTGGTTTCTTGTTGATTGCTT